AAGCACTGTCTGACGCGTCTGCCTCCGCGACCCGAAAGGAGAAGCGGCGATGGAAGATGAAGAAGATAAATAGTCAAAATTAAATAAACAAAAATTGTTTTACTACATAAAAATTATTGTTGCTTAACTCACATTTATTTGTGAACACGCAGTTTCGATGCACGACCAAAAAATGAGCATAAAAATCTGTTTCCATGGTTTTTTACTAACGCCAGCTTAGTCACTTCTATGACATACTGCGCATCTGTTTGCTGACATAATTAATCTCTAATTATGTTTAACAGTTTTAGTAAGTGTTTTATGTTACATCGGTTATTAAATGTATTAGTTCAGGTTTCTTTTAATTTGCAGTGAAATAACTATTCAATGAAAACTGCTGTTTGTTTTGCTCTTTCTGTATAACGCTTTATTTCCTTAGGATTACTTGCTCGTTCATCTGATGGTGCCGAATTGTCTAAGCACGATATTTTTTTCATCCGGTTGGCTGTTCATCGTCAAATTTGCCTCATTATTGATTTTCTCTTTTAGAGTTGTGGTTTGTAACCTGTACCCATTTGAACAAACGGTGAAGCATGGCTGTAGCTTTGAGGATGCCATTGAAAACATAGACATAGGTAGCTTAGTTCGTTTTAACCTCGTTAAAATTTATTGCTCTATGGCAGTACTTGTAGGTGGGGTAACGTTGCTCAGAGCTGGTGCGAAGAACTGCGAACGAGTAACTGTCATCTGTGATCCACAAGATTATGATTGGTAATTGGAAATATCCAAATGTAGTTAAATTGGTTTGTACCTTGCAGTTGATTTACGCATTCATTCTCAATGCCTTCTGTCCCACTCGTTATGTTGGCAGCATCAGGAGTTTTACAAGTGATCTTGGTCTTCAGATAGATAAGCTGAGTTCTAAGGTGCGGCATATTCTAGCTATTTGACCTTGCCTGCCTTTCATCCTTTCATCTGACTGTTCAAGAAAGTGTGCCTTATAAAAATTTGTCATGACGAATCGGTCACATTTTCAAGCCATTGCAGTTGTGATTCTTTTACTTGGAAAATTAGCGGCTAACAACAGTTTTTTAAAAGTTATTAAGGATTTACGTGTACCTTTTTTGGAGGTAAGTACCAAGTAGAGACTATGGTTGTCAGTACCTTTGTTTGAATTTGATGCAATGCATCCTTCTCCCTAGCAGATGTGCACTACTAACGACAATAAGCCTCCTCACTCCCATGTTTACATAATTTTGTTACATTACCGTCTCAAGATTCACGACCCTCTTTCCGAGTTATGGTCAGTTTATGAGCAAACTTTTCCACAGGTGATCTTTCTCCTTCAACTGGAAAGTTGTCGTATAATTTTTCAAGATGTTTTTCATTCTCACTATTTCGTAATGCTTTTAGGGTCTTACGGGAAATGATCGAGTCTCAGTCGAGAGATACTGTGGAAGCAACAAGAATGGCTTTGGCAGCAAAGGTGTGTTTTTACCTATCTGTCTTTAAGTATGCGTACGTGTTATTGACATATCTTGCAAAAGGGACCAAGAAGCCATGGGTTTCTCCCAAAAATTTATAGCGGAAGCTCCTTCCAAAGCTTCGCGAGGAAAAAAAAAATGCGGCGGAGCAGGCTACAAAAAAGAGCAGCGATGATTCTAAATGACGAAAAATCCATAGATACCTCGTCAAAGTGGCAAATAAGAGCTGCCGCCGAGACTATCACCGATGGCTAGAAGCGGAAGCAGCAAATTTGGAAAAAGCGGCAAACAGGGAACTGGAAAACCGAGTACAGACAGGTTGCGACTCTGAGTTTAAATGTCGAAATGAAGAAAATGGCCACAAACGTGCTATATAACTTGGAAGAATAATACATACCGGACGCTACCACTCGTCGGAGACGATAGGTGGAGCATTTTGAAGATTTGCTGAACAGATCCAGTCACGTTCTCAAAGATGTCTCGCTTGCTAAGGCTGCTGATCAGGTCATAGACGTCACTTTGGCAGCCTCAACAGCTGAAAAAACTTGGAACGCTCCAAGACTGGGCTAAAGTTCAAAGTTTTGCAGGTATGACAGACTGAGCGCGGAACTCTTGAAGTGTGGAGTGGCAGACCTGATCGTATGGATGCACAAAGCCTTCGAGAAAATCTGGCAAACAAAATCGATTCCTGAAGATTTGAAAAAGGGAGTAATCATTAAGACTGCAGGAAATATCGAGGGTTCAGCTTGCTGGCTATTCTGGAGAAGGTTCGTATGGGTCATCTTCAGAAATTACAGAAGATAGAGTAGTCGATGAGAACGAATCAGCCGGTTTTCTGCACTTGACACTTGTTAGTTGTACTTGAGTAACATCTTTATGTTTCGATGAATGGCTGAGGAATGCTGGAAATTCCAGCTCGCCTATCACTACTTCTGGATTTCATCGCCGCCTTCGAATTAGTCAAGCACCACGTGCTATAGCGGATCCTGCGTCATTGTGACATCCGGAAGAAATTCGTCAGTCCGATGGAAGGATTGTACGAAGGAACATCTTTTGTGTCAGAAGTAAATTCGAACTGTCGTAATGGTACAAAATTTAAATAGGGTCAATAAATAGGAATCAAGGCGAGGTGCTCTCATCGCTGCTGTTAAACATCGTGGCAGACTTTTTGATGCGGAAATATCGCTCCGAGAGAAGAACAAGGTGTTCATATTGAGCCATGAAATTGCTGGAGATTTCCGGTCATTACTTTGACCGACCTGCAATATGCGGACGGCTTCATTTTGCTGCTGAAACCGGAAGTGGCCTATGGGACCTCATTGCATGTATGTGCGAAAAAAGCCAGCCGATATGGGGCTGTGTGTCAATGCAACTATGATGAAGGTTATAAAAACACAAGCTGCAGTTGATGCCGTGGAAAAAGTCGACCATTTCAAATATCTGCACTGTCGTGGCCAGCGATGGTAGTTGAATTCCGGTTATTTACCTACCCATGGGACTAGCACATTAACGTTTGGTTAGCTGGACGGTTTGTTTGAAAAACAGAACAGTTTCAGTGAAGACGAATATCAGTTCTTGGAAGCAGCGATCTTTCCATACTGGTGTATAATCTGAGGGTAAGTGCTGTCCTAAAGCGCTAGGATTGTTAGCTGGACCGGTTCCATCAGCGTTAATTTCGAAACATTCTGAACATCCGGTGACACCGTCATGTTTTGAATGGTCGTCTATTCAAAACCATCCGACTGAAAGACATCTCAGAAGAACTACGGCACCGTCCTCTGTTGTGGTTCAACAACATGGTTCATAGAAACAACGACGATCTGCAAAAGATTCTCCTATAATGAAGCGACGGACAAGTGCTAAAGATCCGAAGCTAATTATGGGGCTATTGTAGAAGCAGATCTGTTTGCGACAGTAACTGTTATGCATAAATTAGTCTGAAAATTCCCTTTTGCACGTTGTACATCATTAATCTTGGGTTAATGCAACCGTCATGGTCCGTAACTTTGGGTGATTATCGCAGCATATTAAATCTATAAGTAATAATTAGCGCATAACTGATCTAAAGCAAAATTTGCATGGCCTCCTTGCACATAAATGCATATAGAATTTAAACAGGCAAGATTTCAAAGTACTTGAACATCCGCAATGTTTGATGCATTTCGAAATCTTTTGTCCCTTAGAGCAACATTATACTCATAGCTATCGATGTTTAAGAAGTTTATGCTCTTTTATGTTGCCGCACAGACAGAATATTATCTACATCGCAGTGTATTAGGGTTGCATGTAGGCACTAGCAGTGTAGGTGCTGGCCAGTAAATGCGGTCTAGTATTTAGTAGCGGCATTTTGGTTGAACAGAGTACCGTCAGAGAATACGCGGCATCGATGGTATTCATGACCGTTATTGTTGATTTTGCGTAAATAAATGAGATTTATTATCGTGGACTATATGGAACCGAGGGAAAAAGTAGAATATTACAGTAAAAATAATAATGATACCGGTTTCAAACGGCGAATGCACAGTGTAAAGAAAGAAAAATTAATTTCTCACTTTGCCCTGCAGCTTATTTCACCGCCTCCTTGATTTTAGACGCCAAGAGAGTCATTTAAGCAGGCCACGGATCCAACATTTAATCACCTGCAGTGCATGGAACGCAAGACCAGGTCTCTAGCAAGAAACATTGCTACGATCCGTAGGAGAAAGAGTGACAGAATGGAATCCCAATGTTCTGGAGAGCTATCGATAGAGCTCCCCAGAAAATGGGGGTTCAGTTCTGTCGAAGTTGAATATTGTTGTTGGAAATTAGAAGCCCAGAGCAGACATCCACGAGAACCTTGGCGTACAGCCGCTGCTTCTTCAGATTGAGAATTAACAACTGAGGTGGCATGGCTTAGGCATTTGCTGCGAATGCCTCCAGAAAGGGAAATAAAGCAGTTATTTCTTGCCCAGCTGATCGACAGAAGGCCCAGGGGGCGGCGAAGATTAACCTGGTGCAAATGTATGGAAGGGGTCTGCAACAGACTTCTGTTGTCTTCAGTTCAGTTGCCAAAGCTCAGACTTTGACACACAATCGGGAGCGTTAGAAGCACTGTCTTATGCGTCTGCTCCGCGACTCGAAAGGAGAAGAGACTATGGAAGATGGATAGAAGCCAGAGTAGAGTGTCATCTGTGTGAATGTATATGTCTTCGTTGAAATTGGATAATATTTGATCATCTCTTCGTTTCTAGTTGAGCTTTTCTTAAGATGCGCTAATTCATACTTACTACTGTTGTGTCTCTGTTGTAAGAACAATTCGCGTTATTCTTAGGCTTTTCGATATACGTCGCGATATGATAGCCTGATTGCCACTTACTTAGGCAATCAGAGCTCCTTGTTGCAACACTTTGACATAGCCTTACGA